TCTGTATCTGTTAGTTTGTTTGCCTCTATTTCATTTAGTTCTTTTTCTGGAGATTCCTCCTATTTTTTTATTTGGGACCTGTTTCTTTGTCTCCTTATTTTTGCTTCTCTGTATTTGTTTCATTGTATTAGGTAGAGCTGCTGTGTCTCCCAGTTCTTAGCAGAGTGGCCTATATATCAGGTGTCCTGTAGGCCCCAGCGGCCAGCCTCCACAGTAACCTGAGTCGGGGCTCCAGGTGTGCCCCCTTCCCCTGGTGTGGGCAGTGTGCCACTCCTGTTGGAGTTGAGCCTTGACTACTGTTGGGGTGTCACTGAGAGGGATTGGCCCCCTCCTAAGGCTGATTGGCCGTGAGGACCAGCTGGGACTACAGTGGAGGAGCTGCTGTGCAGGGGACAACCTCACAGAGCAGGACTTGCTTCAGTGGGGCTTTGGTGCCTGCCAAGTCCACCCCTTGAGTGAGTCACTCGTGAAGGTGTTTGGGTTGTAGTCCAGCATGATCTGAAGCTGTCTATCAGGTGCACTGGCTCCGGGGCCTCCCAGGAGGTGCAGTCCAAGGTCAGCCACCACCTGTGACCTGCCCAGGGCTGCTGGAAAAAGCTACAAAGTTATCTGCAGATGGTTGCTTCTTGTGCTGGGCATAGAGGTGCCCAGCAAAGGCCAAGCTGCAAACTACTGCTGGCTGCTGCTAGGGTCGAGCCTGGGGCCACTTAGCAAGAGGTACAGGATATGCAGAGGCTAGATACTACTTGTGTGAGAGATTTGCAAGTCTGAAGCATGAACCATGAGAGGTATGGAAAAGCCACTGGAAACTTGGGCCCCAAGTTGGGTGGGGTGGGGCCTCAGGAATCACCAGGGTAGGGAGAATGGGGGGAGCCAGGCTGCTGGAGACTCAGATATGGCTCTCACCTGCTGGCTCTGTGGTGGAGGGTCCAGAAAAGGAGCGAAGCCAGCACTTCTCTCTGGGAGACAGCTGCCTCTTCAACTCTCACCCTGATGCCAGACATTCAGTTCTTCCCTTTAGGTCCCTGCTGCCCCAGTACTGGAGCTCAGAGCTAGTGAGTCCTGGAAATCTATGCACGGTCCCTTTAAGAGGAACACCTGGGACTCCACTCAGCCACAGGCTCTGTCTCACTCAGCCAGAACGTACAGGGACTTCTCCTCCTGGCATTGGAACCCTGGGCTGGGGAGCCTGGTGTAGGACTGGGACCCCTTGCTCCTTAGGGGAATCGCCACACCCGACGTAGTCCTCACGATTTATCTGCCACGTGTGGGTGTGGGACCAGCCTGGTCCGCAACTCTGCCCCTCCTACCAGTCTCAGTGTGGCTTCTTTATATCCTTACTTGTAGGATTTCTGTTTAGAATTCAGGCAGTTCTGAAGGATGGTTGTTCTACAGTTTAGTTGTCATTTTTATGTGGTTGTGGGAGGAGGCGATACTGCATTTACCTATGCTGCCATCTTATTTTTTATTTTTATCCTCACCCAAGGACATTTTTGCATTTTTTGTTCAGATAGAGTGGGAGGGAGATAGAGGAAGAGAGAGAGAGAGAGAGAGAGAGAGAGAGAGAGAGAAACATCTATGTGAAAGGGACACATCAAGTGGCTGCCACCTGCACGACCAACCAGGGCTGGGGACAAACTGCAACCGAGGTACATGCCTTTAGCGGGAACCGAACCTGCGACTCTCTGGACCGCAAACTGATGCTCTAACCGCTGAACCAAACCAGCCAGGGTTATGCTGCCATCTTGACTGGAACTCTAAGAACTTTTATAAGCATTTATTTGGGCCAAATTGACGACATATACTGGGGAGCAAGATCGCAAATGCTCCCAAGAAAAATAGTTTTACACCTTCTTTTAGCCATTTGAATTAAGGAGGGAATGGAAGGAAGATTACACGGAGGCGGGAAAAGGCAAGGCGGGATTGGATTACAGGATAGTTACCAGGATTGTATGCTCTCTTGAGAGTGGTTACAGCTTATTTCGAAGGTGTGCTAACCTAGATATACAGACACAATGGACACTGCTTTCTTAAGGCAAAAGTAAACCTTTGACTAAAACGCTATATGGCACTGGCTGGTGTGGCTCAGTGGTCAGAGCGTTGGCCCACACACCTAAGGGTCATGGGCTCGATTCCCAGTCAAGGGCACGTACCTGGGTTGTAAACTCGATCCCTGGCCCCAGTCAAGGCTTGTGCGGGAGGCAACCAGTTGATGTGTCTCTCTCACATTGATGTTTCTCTCTTTCTCTCCCCCTCCCCTTTCTCTCTCTCCTCTCCCCCTACCACCCCCTGTTCTACTCTCTCTAAAAATCAATGGGGAAATATCCTTGGGTGAGGAGGAACAGAACAAACCAAAAAAAGTTATATGCCTGGGGCATGACTACCCACCATGACTTGCCAGTTAGAAATTCCGAATCAGATCATCTTTAAGGTTGCTTTCCATAGAACCCCTTTTTTTGTCCACAAACGACTGAAGACACACCTTTGATCACGTTCCCTCCGTGTCCCTTCCCTAGTTCTGCCTGAATTTCCCTTGCTGGTTGGCTGGAGGTGCTCCTGAGCTTTCTGTGCAGTCTGACTTCTGCAGCCAAGGTGTGCTGCTAGCCTGTGCTTTGTGCCGACGGTGCCTCGGGCGCCCTGCACCTCTGCACCCGTGTGCTCACATCTCCTGGAGCTGCCTTCCTGGGGCCCTGCCCAGCATCCCTCTCTGGTTGTCACTTTCTCCCTGGTTGCTGCTCCCGGAGTCAATCTGGCGAGTCTGCTGCAACACTGGGGGCCCGGGCCCGGGCCCAGAGCCAGGTCTTCAAAGGCACAGGTGTCCTCCGCCTGTCAGATCTTGTCATCTACTCTGTGGAACCTGGGCCCCTGAAGAAAGGGACACCTCTTCTAAAGTGGACTTGTGAACTGTGTGGAAGTGCAAAGGAGACTAGACTGACCGGTCAGCTGGGCAGAGTTGTCAGGAGCCGCTGAAGCCAGGGTGTGCCATTCAGCCTCTCGTTGGGCAGGACGGCACTTCAGACGCACTTCTCCTCATCTTTCTTCGGCCCCTTTCTGTCACCATGACATCCAGGGAGATGATCAGGGGAGGTCAGTCCCTTATTTGGAGATATTTGTCCCGTGGGGTCTCTTTCCATCTTTTCCTGGTGACCTCTAGACATTGTGACATTCAGCTCCTGCCCTAAAGCATGGAGAAGTCTGGCCTTTTCCTTGACCCAGGGTCCTTGCCCAGGTTCAACATTCATTCATCAGGTGTGTTCCAAAATTAACTTTCTCCTACACAACAGTGAGGGGAAAAGGAAGACCGAGTAGCCTAAGTCAGTGGGCCGCCGCTCAGGTTGGCACACCAGGAAATGCAGGTGACAGGTGATAGTCACAGTCCCGGGTCCTGGGAGCAACATGGAGGTGATGTGAACCCCAGCAGCCTGGTCCCCTACTTCTGACTGACACGACTCATGACGTGGAGTTGAATTGCTGTGTTCAGCACAGGCTAATAGGGATTTGCAAAATGATGTTGTTGGAGAGAAGCTGTAATTAAAATGTCCAGTGTGTGTCTTGAAAACTGTGTGTTCGACCCAAGGGAACTGTGACTCCTCAAGGCCTGGGGGCCTCCCTACCTTGACAGCGCTGTGTTATCTTCTGGAAGCTGCCAACTGTTGCCAAGGTCAGTGGGGCCTCCTCTGACCTTACTGGCTTCCCCGTCTCCTTTGAGCCTTAAGCCTTAGCCCTTGACGGGTTGAGGGATAGGTTCTATTTTGCTTTGGATAAATAAGTTGTATTGGGGTGCAAGCTACGGGGTAGGTGGACCCCTCTATGTTTTTCTTCTTTTTTTTCTTCCTCCAGTCACATCTTTGCTGTGTCTGATGGGCAGAAAGATCGGTGTCTTTGGGCCAATAGAACCGCTCTCCGTCTGAGGGCATCGCCCCTCCCCCCACCCCCTTCCCACCTGCTAAGTGCAGGTTTCACATGCTGTGAAACTCCTGCTTGTAAAAATGCTGGAAAGATGGAGAACAGAATCCTCAGCCTCTTAGAGCCAAGGCCGCCTTTTAATGTCAGACACCCTGTAGCACATTGTCCAAACGTAATACGAGATACACATGAGAAAGGTGATTTTATAATAAAATCATCTGAATGCGAATGGCTCACGGCCACCCCAGGTATGCAGAGACCTGCACCCTGCCCGCCCCTCACGTGGCAGCTGCAGGCTCAGCCTTGAGGTCAGCGATCCTTATTCCTTATTCAGCGATCCTGTGACCTTGTCCCAGCAATGCTCCTGGAGGCCACGGGCCAGTGCCGCCCCTCCCCACATCGTTTTCATGGTAACTGCAGTTCTGGGAAATTAGGTGGATGTTAACACCAGGCAAACTACTGCATGTGCATGTTAAATGGAATGGGTTCTGGTTTCAGAAGGCCATTTGGGATATAGAAGAGTTGCCCCTGACCCCTAAAATCCATGGTGCCCCTTAGTTATGGTGACCACCTAAAACAATCCTATAGATCTGCAGATGTCTTGAGGGGCCAGTACTCCAACAATATGGAGTCTACCGTAGAAACCAAGACAAGTGTCAGCGCAGGGATTCGTCAGAGTGATTTGTTTTGAAGAATTGGCCAGTGCGGCCGTGGGTGTGGGCAGATCTGAACTCTGTGGGGGTGTCAGTGGGCACCCAGGGAAGAACTGATGTCGTGGTCTTGGGTCCCAAGGCAGCTTGGAGGCAGCAGTGGTCTCCCCGGACCACCCAGTCTTCGCTCATAGGACTGCCCATGGCGGGTCGTCAGCTTCAGGCAGAGTCAACTGATTTAAATATTTACTCTCATCTGAAAAACACCTTCCCAGAAATATCTACAGTGGCGTCAGACCAAATATCTGGGCACCATGCCCGCGCCATGTCAACATGTAAGATTAACATCACAGCCTATGACAAAGAAGTTGAAGAATGCTCCGTTTCTGTGGTAGGAGCTTGAAGGGTAGTCGCCATAAATATCTTCATGTGTTTTCTCTGCAGCATCATCGGTGTGCAGCGTTCAGACAGCGGGTCGTATAGATGTAAGACGAAAATAAACCATGAGGAGATCGTGTCTGACCCCATCTATGTTGAGGTACAAGGTAAGTGGGGAGGCCACAGAGTGGCCAGTACTAACTGCTGTTCATGTCACACTGTCCAGTTTGGCCCATTTATAACTCTGCACACCTTGCAGATCCGTGAGCACTGAGATCTTGTAAACCAGTCCTCTTTTGAGCCTTTAGGTAATAATGAAATGAATTCACTTCTTCGCGTTTTCGCTCCATCCTAGGCACTGGCACTAAGAGAAGAGATTATTGACTTCTTTGTCCTGAGGCCCCTCACAAGTGAGGGAGCAAATGTATCCCATTGTCCAGCCCTCAGGGTGGCCACCAGGTACCACTCGCCTGGTCAGGCAGCAGTTTGCTTGTTATTTAGCATCTTTTCCTGTTTTGCGTATATGGATGATGAGACCAGGGAGGGTGAGTAGTTTTCCTGGACAGGGTCAGCAGCTCGGTCTGGGACTCCTTTCTGGGCCCTCGGATTTGTCAGGTGTTTGGCTCCGTGCAGTTCTGTGACATGACCTGACATGACCTGGGTTCAGTGGGGTGAGAAGTGAGACATGAGATGAGGAGAAGGCAGTCTCTGCCCTGACGGAACTTGTCCAGTGGGGACTGTGAGCAGATGCACCGTTGAGCCGGGCCAGCTGAGCCTAGGTCCTTGGTCTCCGGGTTTGCACGCCTGGTTCTGCAATGGCAGGGCTTGTCAGGAAAGGCTTCAAGGCCCTGGCCGGTGGCTCGGTTGGTTGGCGTTGCCCCATGCACCGAGAGGTCACTGGTTCGCTTCCTGGTCTGGGCACATGTCTGGGTTGTGGGCTCAGGCCCGATGGGAGGCAGGGGAGTGCAGGAGGCAGCTGATCAGTATTCCCCTCTCTCTCTCCCTCTTCTTTCCTCTTTCTCTAAAAAAAAAAAAAGTTAATAAAAACATTAAAAGGAAAGAAAGAAAGGAGAGAGAGAGGAAGAAAGGAAGAAAAGAAAGAGAGAGAGAGGAAGGGAGGGAGGGAGGGAGGGAGAAAGGGAGGGAGGAAGGAAGGAAGGAAGGGAGGGAGGGAGGGAGGGAGGGAGGGAGGGAGGGAGGGAGGGAGGGAGGGAGGGAGGGAAGGGAAGGAAGACAGGCTTCAAGGAGGAAGCATCTTTATTGTTAGCCACCCCAGTGGCTGCTCCCAGCACCTGGGTGCTGCCCTCTCGGGTCCCTGCACGCTAGCTCTCAGGATTCCCTGTGAGCACACCATCAGAACACCTTTCTTTTCTACTTTCTCCCGACTCCCTCATCACAGGCTGTAGAACAGGTGATTAGCTTTTCAGGGACGTTCAGCTGGAAACATCTTCCACTAAACAGCCCCTCTGTCCATTCTTTTGCAAACACAAACCTGATACCCACCAATGCTGCAGGAGGCCTGGGGAGGCTGGCCCTCGGGACTCTCTTTTATAGCTTTGTTCTTGGTCCATCCCAGACTGGACAGCTAGTGTTACTTCCTACATTTGCTGTTTATCTGGGATAAATATTTAGGGGACATTTTACTTGTCTTCATCTCAGAAAAATACCCAGCGCAGGGACATGGTAGATCCAAAAGGAGTTTGCACCCTGACCGGTTTGGCTCAGCGGTTAGAGCGTCGGCCTGCGGTCCAGAGAGACCTGGGTTCAGTTCCCGCTAAGGGCATGTACCTTGGTTGCAGTTTGTCCCCGGCCCTGATTGGTCGTGCAGGTGGCAGCCACTCAATGTGTCCCTTTCACGTTGATGTTTCTCTCTCTCTCTTCCTCCCACTGTATCTGAACAAAAAATGGAAAAATGTCTTCGGGTGAGGTTAAAAAAAAAAAGTGCTTAAAAAAAAAGAATTCAGTATTTATTTAAAACAAAACAAAACAAAAGGAGTTTACAAAACTTTGAAGCAGTAAAATGTTTTTTTTGTTGTAGTTTTTTTTTTTCCACCACTTTCAGATCCTTCCTGTTGGAACCAGGTCTGTGAGTTCACAGTCCCAAATGAACACAATTGAAATGTGTGAGGACAGTTAGCTGCACCTGATACATTTTTGGCACATGTCCCAAACAAGTGAGCTGTTTGGGTCCTGTGAGGCCATTCCTGAAGTGCCCTTCCGTGTGGCTTGGTCCTGGAATTACAGCCGGAGATCGTAGGCCTGTAACTGTAACTGTGTCTACAGTGTTTTCCTGAGACTGGGCTTTGAAAGGCATTCAGCCCTAGACTCGTACACAGATTTTAAGATTCATGTCACCGTCTCAGAGTCTCACACACAGTGGATTGTCCTCAAAAGCAAGCAGGCCTATTACGTGGCTTGTTTTTCTCTCTGTTTGTTTTGGTGAGGGATACGCCGAACCTGCCAACCTGCCCCACGAGAGTGAGCAACGCCTGGTTTCGAAACGGCCACGCCTCCCTTCTGCTAGAACGGTTCTGAGTCACCACCACAACCCCTTGGGGAGAGTGTCCTAGAAAGTGAGCTGGAGCTAGAGCCTGTTTTCTTTCTTTCTTTCTTTCTTTTTTTTTAAATCCTCACCCGAGGATATTTTTCTATTCATCTCCAGACAGAGTGGGAGGAGGAGAAAGGGAGAGAGAGAGAAACATTACGTGAGAGGGACACATCGACTGGTTGCCTCCTGGCACAACCCCCACCAGAACTGGGGATGAACCGCAACCGAGGTACGTGCCCTTGACCGGAATCAAACCCAAGACTCATTGGTCCGCGGGCTGATGCTGTACCGCTGAGCCAAACCGGCCACGGTGCCTGTTTTCTTTCTTACAACTTTTAGGGACAAACTGGCGTTTCAGACCTGAGACGGTATAGAAAGAAATCTCCTGTAGCCAAGTGCTAGTGGGCTCCGTCCCCTTCGGGCTCCGCCTTTGCTGATGGATTGGAAACTTTCTCTGCAGGACTCCCCCACTTCACCAGGCAGCCGGAGAGCATGAACGTCACCAGGAACACTGCCTTCAACCTCACCTGTCAGGCCGTGGGCCCGCCGGAGCCCGTCAACATTTTCTGGGTTCAGAACAGCTACCACGTGAATGAACGGCCAGAAAAGTCCCCGTCTGTGCTGACTGTTCCTGGTGAGTCTGTGCCCGTGTCTTCATTTGCTCTCTCGTGGCGGAAGGGAGCCAAGGCTGGCTGGGCACCGCTGGGCACCGCTGGGCACCGGGAGGGTGAGGCCGTGGCGGCCAGGCAGGAGTCTCGGTGTGGAGGTCCCGGGTCAGGGCCAGGAAGTGGCTGAGGACGCTCCGAGGGTGTCACTGGTCAGGTGGGGAAGGGCCGAATGCCCCAGGCGAGGCTGTGCCCGCTCACGCCTCCCATCACAGCTGTGGCCTGGCAGGCCGGGCCTTCAGGAGCCACTGATGCGAAGACCTGGGTAAGGTTTGACAGCAAGGCGAGCGCGTGGTCACGGGGCGGAGTGGGCAGTGTCGTCGTCGGGGGGTTGTGGCCGCCTTGCAGGTCAGTGGTCATCTTGCTTTCCATCCGAATGGAAGTGCCCAGCTTTGTTCCCACCGCGCTGACCGTGTCTGGAGCCAGCACCATTGACGTTCCTGTGCCGCGAGGCCAGCGGGCTCCTCTGCGCCTCCCGTTGCGTCTTCCAGCAACATCTGGCCAGGGAGCCACCGCGGGGGGAGGAAGAACCTCTCCTCTGTCCTCAAGGTTCTTCCTGCTGGTCTAATAATCAAACAGTCATGAGGCCAATTAGCAAGAGAAAATGACCCAGTTTATTACATACATACGTATGGGAACCCACGTAACGAGAGTCGGAGACCCCCATGCACGAGGTGCAGAGGCAGAAAGGTGTGGGTATATAGGACAGCCAGGGCTGGGGACAGGTGCGGGGCCCTGGGGCCTTCGAAGGGCCTTGCAGGGAGAGCCAGGTGTTCAGTAAAGAGCCGTTTTCCTGGCACACAGATAGGTCAAAAGGTCATCTCTGACTATCCTTATAATTCATGTTATCTAGGTTGGGAAGGGAGGGACAGAAGTTTCTTTCGAGCCTGCTGTTAAAGTTGTCTTTAGCTCAAAACAATTCACATGCCTCAGAGACACACCGGGGGCTCGTTCTGACCCCCCCCCTTTCTTTCTTCTGTGTGCAGAGGGGGGTCTGGGCTGAGGATGCGGAGGTGGCTCCTGGCAACTGTCTTTTTGCTTCTCTACACCTTACTGCTGCTCTGCCTGTGGTAGAGCTGAAAGTGTGGCGCCCGGACCCACTCTGTCCCCTGAGATGTTCCGAGTGAGCTCCCCTGGGCCCCTGCCTCCAGCACTGTCAGTGCGGTGATGACCCCAAACTCTGTTCTCCAGCCTAGACCTCTCTCCCGAGCTTCGGGCGCATCTGGCCGACTGTCTCCTTGGCGTTTTCGCTTGCCGGGTACATAGCCCTCTTAAAATGAAACTCTTGGTCTTCCCCTAGACTTGTTCCACCCCAAATTTCTCATTTTAGTAAGTGATACCACCATTTGCCCTTCCTTCCTTTTTCTCATTTTTCACGAGAATGCATCAGCAAGTTCCATCCGCTTTGTTCCTACAGTACATCCAAAGTCTGTCTTCGTCTCTGCTGCAGTGTCTGGTCCATGTAGCCTCCAGCCCCCGCCAACACCACTGCAGTGGCGTCCTAGCTGGTCTCGTTGCTTTCAGCCTCGTCCTCATTCTAATCCGTCCTCCTTGTGGCAGATCGTGTCACTTGCCTCCTGGGAATCCTTCCTGACTTCTATTGTCTTAGACTGTCACTCAGAGTCCTTCCTGCCTCCACCGGATTCTCCCACCCAACTCCATCCCACTCCCTGTTCTCTGCTTGCTAAGCATCAGTCACACCTGTTGTCTTTCATTTCCTCAGACACATCACCCTCCTTCCTACCTCAGGACCTTTGCCTTCTCTCTCTTGTCTGCCCACAGTGTTCTTCCATCTGCCCTTTGTTCCATGATGATACAACTCCAGTATCACTTCTTTTTTGTTGTTGTTAATCCTCACCCAAGGATATTTTTCCATTGATTTTTAGATAGAGCGGAAGGGAGGGAGGGGGAGAGAGAGAGAGACATGTATGAGAGGGAGACACATGATTGGTTGCCTCCTGCACAACCCTGAAACCCTGATCAGGGCCAGGGATCGAACCTGCAACCCAGGTATGTGCTCCTGCCCGGGAATAGAACCCGAGACCCTCTGGTCTGTGGCCTGATGATCTAAGTGCTGAGCCAGACTGGCCAGGGCAAGTATCACTTCTTCAGTGAAGCATTCCCTGGTCACTCATAACGACTTCAGGTTTTCTTCACCTTCTTATTGACTCCCAGTCACAGATTCTTGTGGACGTCATCACTGCACTTGTCAGTCTGTAAACGCCCTGTTTGTGTATGGTCTCTTCCGAGAGAACATGTGCTCAGGAATGACAAGGTCTCGGTCTCGCCCGAGGCAGTGCTTGACCCATAGTAGTAATCACTAAAGATTCATGGCAAGATGGGTCAGCAAGTGAATGCCAGCCCCGAGGTGTTGTCTCCGAATCACTTTTCTGACTCCTGACTCCACCAGGAATATTATGGTTTCCCCGGTCTTCGTCTGCATTTTCTTTGGGTTTCTCCAAGGAGTTGATCATCAGTGATTTCTTTGTTCAAACTCAGTTTTTAAAAATATACGCCATCCTCTCTAGGAGGGTTGCTCTGAAGTTCCATAAAAAAAGATTTTTGTGTGTGTGGTAAAATTGACCGACAAGTCCATGAAATGTAGAATTTAAGCACACAACTCAGTGAGTTTGATCATGTAGACACCCCTGTGAGCCCACGTCGGTCAAGATACAAAATGTTCCCTCACCCCTCTGATCGGCCCCCGCCTCCCACAGGCCGCACTGTTCTGATGTCTGGCATCAGATTAGAGCCGCCTGGTCTCGTACTGTAAATACATGGAATCATAAAGCACCTATTCTTTTGTGTCCGGCTTCTCCGGCCCCATGTGGGGTGTTGGAGATTCACCAACGTTGTTGTGTCAGGAGTGCATTATTTTTTATCGCTGACAGCGCCCTGTTGTATGAAGGTCTTACATTGTGTTATTATCCATTTGTTGAACAGTCGACATGTTTACGGCTGTTGGCTACTATGAATAAAGCAGCTATGAATACTTATGTGGAGGTCTCTTGGGGGATATATTTTTTATTTCCCTTGGATGAATAGCTGGGAGAGCAATGGCTGAGTCATATTTAGGTGTATGTTTAACTTTTATTTTTTACTGTTGAAAGTGTTACAGATATACCCCATTTTTTACCCCATTGGCCCCCTCCTTCCCACTCCCACCCCCTTCCTGTAAATTTACATAATAGAATACTATGCAGCCGTAAGAAAGAAAGATCTCTTACCCTTTGAGACAACATGGAGGGACCTGGAGAGTATTATGCTGAGTGTATGTTTAACTTTTAAAGAAACCAGGACTCTTTTCCAAGGGCTTTACTGTGGTGTGTCCCCCACAGCAGTGGGGTAGTGTTCCGATTGCTCTGTCCTCATCCTTGCTCACACGTGACATGGCTCATCTTCTTAATTTTAGACATTCTAATTGATGCGAAATGGTAGATTATTATAGTTTTAGTTTACACTTCATTCCCCTGGTGTCTAATTTTGGATTTTATTTAGAAAATATTTGGTGCCACCCAGCCAGTGTGGCTCAGTGGCTGAGCGTTGACTCGTGCACCAAGAGGTCACTAGTTCGATTCCCTGTCTGGGCACACGCCCAGGATGTGGGCCCGATCCCCAGTGGGGGGCACGCAGGAGGCAGCCCGTAGATGTTCTCTCTCATCAGTGTTTCTGTCTCTCTCTCCCTCTCCCTTCCTCTCTCTCTAAAATAAATAAAAACTATTTTTGAATATGAAAAGATTTTGTGCTTATCAACCAATTATATGTCCTTTTTCTGTGAAGTGTCACTTCAGGGCTTTTGCCTATTTCCAAATAAATCATAGAATCAGCTTGATATTTTTTACAAAAATTCTGCTGTGATTTTGTTTGCAGTTGTATTAAATTTATAGCTCAATTTAGGGGAAGATGACATTTTACTAATATTAAGACTTCCAATCCATGAACACAGTCTGTCCATTTATTTAGGTCTTCTTTAATTTCTCTCAGTATATATATATATATATATATATATGTCTATATACATATATATATAGACACACACACATATATTTATATACACACACACACACACACACACACACTTTTTGGAGTAGAGATCTTACATGTCATTTGTGAAATTTATTTCTTAAATCTTTAATCTTTTTTTTTTTTTGGTACGTACCCTTAGCAGGAACCGAACCTGGGACTCGCTGGTCCGCAGGCCGATGCTCCAACTGCTGAGCCAAACCAGCCAGGGCGTATTTTTAAATATTTTTTGTTTTTGATGCTGGTATGTAGTCTATTTGATTTCGTTTCCCATTTTTTCACTAGTAATATATAGAAAGTAAATGGATTTTTGTGTGTTGATCTTATATTCTACAACCTTGCTACATTCACTTATTAGTTCTTAGTTTTCTGTTGTTGTAAATTCCTTGGATTTTCTATGTAGACAGTGATGTCACCTGCCGGTAGGGACAGTTTCACTTCCACTTTTCCCATCCTTATCCTTTCATCTGTGTGGCTGACTTCCTGTTTCCCGGCCAGGACCTCTCTAGCTGCGTGGAAGGGGTTACGAGACATCTCTGCTCCCCAGCACCGAGGGTGGTAACTGCAGGTTGTTGTAGATGCCCTTCAATGGGTTGAAGAAGTTTCCTCCTATTCCCAGCTGGCTGAACAAAAATTACTTATTGATTGATTTGAGAGAGAGAGAGAGAAAGAGAGAGATATTTGTTGTTCCACTTAACCATTCATTGGTTGATTCTTGTATGTGCCTTGACTGGGGATCGAACCGGAAACCTTGATGTATCAGGATGATGCTCTAACCAACTGACCAACATGCCCAGCTAGGGCATGAACATTTTATTTTGATCATGAAGGATGTCAAATTTTGTCCAGTTTATTTTTTTGTAGCTACTGAGGTGTTCCTATGGTTTTTCTTTGTTATTCTCTCAGTATAGTTAATTGCATTGATTTGATTTTCAAATGTTGTCAA